TTCTGATAAACAACCCCTTCCAATGTTTAAAGCAGGATGAAAATGCTGCCAATGGAAAGAATTTCATGACGTCAAATGGATATAAAGAACAACTTATACACAGCCAGCACTTCCAGTGCCGCCACGGGACCAGCTCAGAACCTCTGAGCTGTAGCAAGCACTCACAGAAATTACTTCTCAGCTGTGACAGCTTTTGCTTCCCTCTTTCCCTTTCTCCTCTCTTTATTAAAAACTGGGCCCCACCCATGGCCTTAAGCATATCAGAAACTGGTGATATTTGTTCTGCAAATGGTCATAATTAAAAACAAAATCATCAAAAGCTGGGTTCACATTACTATAGATGCTGTTTCTGCTCTGAGCAGGCAAAGGACTGTAACTCAGTACGGTTCAAATAGCTTAGGGAAGAGGACAGGGCCAGCAGAAGTTAAAAGTGATTGCTTCTTTGCTTTAAAAAAAAAAAAGTCTGATATTTAGTTTTTTTCCTTCACACAGAAAATAGATTTTGCTATTCTTGTTCAATATACAAAACATAAATCATGTTTAGAACTTGGAATGTCTACTGCTATGAGACCATTTTTGTTGTTAAAAAAAATCTGGCATTCAATGTTTGTTTGCATTTGAAGTTAAGTAATTGCACTCCTGAAATATGCTAGCTTTCCAAATGACAAATTCGCCACCTACATTGTCAGGAAGGCTGATGATAAACACTCTCAGTCCTGGGTTTTCTTTCGGGGCATGAGATCATTACAATTTATAGTCTCTGGGGAACAAAAATAGAAAAGACACATGGCCCAAGGTTCTCGCTCCTTCCTGTTGTCTCTCTTTGGAGGACAAACAGCCTGGCTTCCACGACACCACTGCCGAGGCCACGCATACCCACTGTCCTCTCAGGTCTGAAGACTGCTTCAGCCACACTCTCTCATCGCCTTCTGTGCAGATGCTAAAAGTGATGTCGTGCTTAGTTAACACAGTATTTCTACTCGAGACAGTCCATAGTTGAAAAGATGTTCACGTAGAATCAGAGCTAAGACTACCAGTCAAGGAGCCTGGGGAGGGACAGTACCCAAGACAACTAGAAAAGTAAACATGTAAAAGTTATCAGAAATGTGGCTTATCAGATTCTAACCAAGCGCACGTTCCATTGTTCCTTCATTGGGGTAGTCCTCAGCCCTCGTCCTAGTCCCTCAATGCTCTACATTCCAACCTTGCACTCCTCCCTTAAGGAAGACATTGACAAGACAGTCCTAATCTCTTTCACAGAGCCACGTTTTCAAACAACACAGTAAGAGCTAAGAACGAAGGAGCTGTGAAATGAAGTTGAAGTTGTGGCATTTTTCCAACTTTATGTCTTAAGATAAAAGGATCTAGATGAGACGTGCACAGACTACAGGGTATAGCCTGGGCACTTCTATGAGGGTATTATATTCTCGCCTATGGTCTAGGGCTTAGGTGCTCCCCACGTGACAGAGTTCAGAATTCTCTGCATTGCTCTAAGCAGTCCCTATTTGTCCTTACATAGGCTGAGGCAAATTTAAAACTTACAGGGTACACCACCTTCCCAATTTAAAGATGTCTAATACATGATTTCTATCAGGCTAACTGAAAGTTACGAGAGCACTATGACTTCGTATTACATGAAGAATGCTAAATTGCCCCACAGTGTATTTCTGTGAAACTTCCTGTTATCAACCAGGTAGTCACTGTTTTCCCTGTTGACAGCTGACATCAGGACAATTGTCAGCATACTCAAACCATCTCATCTACGTCAGTATCTTTAAAAAGTATAAAAAGGGAAATTACTTTGAAAATGCGAACGTTCTAAAAAAAAAAAAAACAAAAAAACCCACATCCAGGGTCTGGACAGTAGAGTAAGAGGGTGGCATGCTTACGGCAGTGCTGGGTGAGACCACATCTACCAAATTCTGTTGGTGGGGTGGGGGGGGAAGGGATTTGGGCCACTATTTACAATTTTCACCTGTTGAAACTGAGGCTTTCTTTTCAAAGTGTCAGTTAGTGCCTTTAAGAATGGGACCTCCTGCCTGTATCATGCTTTTGTACAGGAGTCAGGAGTTACTATCCAGAGCCATGCATTCTCAGGCATCTGGAAACCCACACTTGAGACAAGCCCCTTTCAGTTCCCTGTGGTTACCCTCACCACTCCATTCCTGCATCAATGCTTCTCCCTCTGCTTCTGCACGAACACACTTTAAATTATGAATGGGCTGGTTAAATGGTCTGAAGGATGCAAGCACTCCCATTCAACATCTGGATGGTCTGGAGTGTCGTGACAATGCACAGCTGGTACACTTCCTCGTGGGCACTGCGGGAATCAGGTAGATTTTCCTAGCAGGTTTTCTCAAAACCTGCTAGCCCTCAGCTGCCACCAGAACCATTAAATGATCCCCTTGTGCAAAGAGGGAGGATGCTGGCTCTTAGAGGCCTTAAAGCTTCCTTTTAATGTGGCAAGTGCACCAAGATGTTGTGGTTGAACAATACAAGACTTCTAGAATAAAAGAAAATATACCCCTAAATATGATCTTTGCTTCATTCTTGCTTTTTGGCGCAATTCTGAAAAGCAAAAATTCCCATGATGATTTGTCAAAATGAACAGCATATGTTCTTCTCAGTGACCTTAACTCAGATTGTACGAATCTGTAGTTATTACCAAGTGTATAAAATGATAATAACACTCGGCTTAACAATATGCAGCTTGGTGTTAAACTAAACAAATAATGGACAAAGCACTGGCATGGCTAAGAATCTACAAAAGCTCATTAGAAAACTGGAAACATGTACCTATAGACCCCACAGTACCAACTGTCCTCGCTCTTTGCAGTCTACAACCTAGCTTAAGGGATGCTATTTTTAGCTTTATTTATATGTTTTTTACTATTTTACATTATTTGGTGGTATTTTCCCCAGAATACTGGATGCAATTTTAAATTAGTGTCTTTACCCCAGATTTAATCTATATTTTACCCATTGTTTTGGGGTTACTTGTTTTAGCTTCCCAGGAAAAATGATCAGGCAGAAGAAATTGGAAAGGAATATGGCCAAGCCTTATAAGTTGCCAGATTTAAATACATACATGAAAGACAGGATGACATAGGGTAGGAATTTCGGAAGTATGAGCTCTAGATTGCAAATTATTTCACAGTCTGGAGTAAACAGAGGAAAGATAATAAATGTCAGTTAATAGGTGATATTTCTAGTATACAGTAAAAAAAGTCAAAATGTTAAAAGTGAGTTAAAATCAAGTATGTGCTTTGTGTGTGTGTGTGTGTGTGTGTGTGTGTGTGTGTATGTGTGTGTATAATTACTGTCAATGGAGACAAAAATATTTTGGTTTAATCTGGAAAGCAAAGCTAACTTCAGAGAAACAACTGAAGACTGTGGCGGCACAGCTGAGAAGCGCCCAGCATGGCAAAGCCTGTGCTTCTTACAGAAAAAGAGAGATACCATAGCTATAGTGTCAGTATGGCTTCTAGGCCTCTGCTGTCAACAAGAGACTGTTGGTCATACGAAATCAGCGCATTCCAGTCTAGCAGGCGAAAGGCTCAGAGCTCCTGACTCATGAACTGTACCGTCAGTTATTCCAAAGTGGTAATTAGGAGTCCATTGAAATGTCACAAGGGGCTACTCAGATCAAGTTAATTTGGAAAAGTTCCCAGACACTGTCTTAGGGTTTTATGTGTTTTTTCCTGACCCATAGACATCTTTAGAATGTGTGTTCTCTTGTGCTGAGGGCCATTAGATTCCTCTGTTCCTGCAAGATGCAGCCAAGTAGCCCAAAGGCCTAGATAAAAATGACTTAACCAGAGGCAGTTCATAGTTCACAGCCCCCATGTCGTGTCTGACTGGCGTCTTTTCCAGAGCCGAATCAGGAGTGCAGGTGTAACAGACTAAGGCAATTTTGGGTGACTATTCCAGGAAGATCTGTGTAATACTGTGTCAAGGGAGGAAAAAACATCTCTGGAGTCAGGAAGAAGAGGAGGAGGTGAAGAAATAAACAAGCAGAAAAATCAAAGTGTACCTGACAAAGGGAAAGAGGTCACTCCTTTCGTGAATCCCTCATGAATTTCCAGATACAGAAGGCAACAGAGCATCCAGTTTCCTGGAGCCACTTGAGAGAGGATTAATTGCGTGCAATTGCTGTATTTGTCCAAGATGTCCAGATCACTGCACTTGCATGACAGAAGGTAGCTGAAGTTACCAAGCATGTAGAACTCTACACTAGAACCTTCTCTTGGTCATATTTTTGACATATATCAGACTCAAGAGGCCAGTCCCTTCAGTTCAGAGCAAGGAACAGAATATGCCACTGGCCACCAGGAATGTGTGCGTACGCTCACGCTGTAGAACAGTGATCCAGGTTGGCTTGGGCAAGGAGGCCACATTAAAAAAATACAGGTCTTGGGGAACTAGCTTTGGATTGTTCTAGGTTAGTATAATTTATTTTTATGATTAAATAATTGCGAACGCAGTGAATTCTTAAAAATCCCTTTCCCTGCCCTCCCACCCCTATCTCACCTGAAGAGTACAAATTACCAGGGGAGCAGCAGCTGAGAAGTGGTTAAGAGGGACCCCGGGGCTGGCATCGGCTTTATTTCTAAAACACTGTAAAACCCTCCCAAAATTTGGCACTGTGGGGACTGTTGGCAATTAGAACTCAGGCTAGGTAGGGAGTCTCGGCAGCCTTGGGGATAATCCCAATGCTTTGGCAGTGCTGTTTATGGAAGCCTTCCATGTACTCTCTCAAATCCATCTCTCCTGCAGCTAGACTCACCCTTCCTGAGCTGCCCGAGAAGGGGGGTGGCCAGTATGCCTAGCCACGCCTAACTGCAGACTCCCACAGCTGGGCACAGGTCAGGAAGGGAGCATTCCAAGAGGACAGGGAGAAGGGAAAGGTTTTATATGTAACTACTTATCAAACTGCTACCATTTTGCCTAGAATTTCTATCTTTTAAAAAAGGTCTATGAGCCATGGGGGGGGGGGCAGGTAAGAGGCAAGAAAGGAGTATGATATACATATATATAAATACATATTATATAATGTATATGTGTATATATATGTATATTCTATTTGGTTATAGTTAGAAATAATAAGTTACTTTTCCAGAGCAAAGTTTACAAGTTACCCATAAACCTCAGTTAGAAGGTTTTGTAGCTAGTGCAGTCAGCAGTGCTGGTTAAGAAACCTTGCTTGCTCGAGGGCTACCAATGGACTAATTTGGTTAGCTTTCTGCTTTCCTTTCTTCTTCACCAAAACAGCTTTTTTTTTTTTCACAATAAAAATGTTTCTCAAATTATTTCTTTCCTCTTGTTATACACTTTTGCGTTAAGCAAATACAAAAGAAGAGAAGTTGACCACATAGGCTCTGAAGTCAGGACCTTCAGTTAGAATAAGGGCTGCGTGGACTTCTAGAGCAAGAACACCCCAGACCAACAAGCTCATGTCCATCACTGACTGAACTGGCTCCTTTCCCCTTCCACTTGACGCATAACACACATCCGTGCGTCCACGCCTCTCCACACGCCAATCTTCAGTATTACAAGAAAGAGTGCATTGTCATACTGCAGCATTCTGAGAAGCAGTAACGGAAACCCTAACCCCAATGCTGAAAACACAGGATACGGAAGTAAGATGGCTTCCTGGGAAGCCATTATTAATTCTTGATGCAGTCAAAGAAAAGCAAGTTCCTGGAGGAGTCGAGACAGTTTTAGTCCTTGGAGTCCAATTAATCTTTCATTCTCCAATCTCTCATTGTCCTGGGCTTTGGGCAAGGTACACAGCTGAAGGACAGAGGGCTGGGCAATGGGGTAGGGATGGTTAACGAGTGGGCCTTCAGAGGCCATGCTGACAAACACCCACTGACAGGACAAAACAAGACGGGCTCTGAGTGTGGGTCTGCAGTGAAAATCTTAGCTGTTTGGGGTGGGTTCATTCAGTCAAAAAGGACAACCAAATATGTTCTATAAATTAACTTGTGAAGTACAGAGACTGGGGGGTGGGTAAAAACCCCACAACTTTGGTGTTTGGAAGGGGAGAGCAGCAATCCAGGCCCCCAATTCTGTGTTGCTTGAATTTCCCACCAGCTCTGGCAGTGCACACAGGTCCCCAGTAGCCCGTCTGCTGTTTTCCCTGCAGGCATCAGCAGTCAGTTTGAGGTTGCTGGCAGTGGGGGAAGGGGTACTGGGTCTGGACAGAGATTTGCAACCAAAGATGAATGGCCTTCCTCTTGCCAGGAAGCATGTCCCAGTCATTTGCCATCAAATACCAACCTATGGTGGCTGGGTGACTCTAGGCTGCTGCGTCTCCCAACACTGCTTGAAAGACGTGAAAGCTACTAAGACAGGCTTGGGAAGGGCTGTGCAGAAGCCAGCAGCTGGTCAGGTGATCCCTAGCTCCTGATTTCTCTCAGAAGCCATATTCCTCACTGAAGATGGAGGGTTACACAGCACTGTGAGGTGCTTTCCGCCCCGCTCCATTCAATTTCTGTGGGTGCTTGGGAAGGTGAGACAAAAACTCAGGTCTTGTGGTGAAGTCAGCAGCTGCCTCTGAGGTGAGGTGTGAGCAAAATGGTAGAGTTGTGCTCCACAAGGAGAGGCATTGGGGCTGCCTAACTGTGTTCTGACTCTGTTAAATTAATGAAGGGAGTAAACAGAAGGGGGCGAGGTCTGGCTTTCCATCCTTCAGTCTCGGGGAGCAGACAAGGGATAAGAAAGTGCTGCCCGTCTCCTTCCAGGCTGCTGGAGTACTGAACACAAGCTCAGAATGGAAAGCATTTCCTAGGAAACGGCTGCGAGGCGGAGGGAGGGCTCAGCAGCCACATCATCTGGGGATGCCTGCAGTAGTAACTGGGCTGCCCCGCCCACAGCTGCAGAGGATCCCAGGGCAGGTGCCTGAAGGACCACAGAAGAGATCACCGAAAGAACACTAAGAAGGAGAACACATGGCCCATCTTCCCTTTGCCTCCTATGTGGGATCTATGGCCACCTATGTACACATTTCAGACACTGGCAGAAGGGCTGGGAAACAAACACTCTCTGCAGCCTCTCAGCGATGGCAGCCAGGGGACCCTCAGCGCTCACAACTCAGAAGGGGTTCAAGACTGCCAGGGAGGGGGGTTCTGGGTTGGGACACATGATCCTAATTATAATTCCCCACACCTTTTTACTATGTTAAGAGAGCAGTGTGTAGAGAGTCCTTTAGTCTGGGGCAGCAGAGACCCTGCAGGGCTCACTGCTCTTCCGTCTTGCTACTATTCCTGAACTTCACCACCATGACTGTAATATTGTCAGGGCAGCCTCTGTAGAAGGACTGCAGAACGATGCTTTTGGCCCCAAAGTGCGGTTCATCCAAGCGCTCCTTGATGAACCGAACCGCTTCTTCATTGCTGAAAGCATCCCACAGGCCGTCTGATGCCAAGATCATGAACTCAGGCTGCAGCTTGTCCAGGTCAAAGGTCAAGATGTCTGGGTCTGGGATGACCACGTTGAGATTTTTCAGTGGATAGTCTCCCAGGGATCGAGACATGGCTAGGATCCCCTGGACCCTCCAGGAGCCATTGAAACTGATGAAGCCACCTGCAAGGACAAAGTGAGCCTGTTAGCTCGCCCAGCGCTTCTCTCTCACGTTTGGTACACTCTGGGTGTGAGTACCACAAGCTGGCCTGCTACATGTAAGCTGAGCCACAGGTACTCCTTCGCCTCCGTCACTGCCAAGGCCAACAGCATCTCGCTGCAGAGCGTGGGGAAGAACTTCATTCTCTCATCCTTGGCATTGCTAATATTTGCAAGAATATAATCAAGGGTGGAGCACAGGTGAGATGGAGAATCGGTTTTCACAACAGGCTGTGGCAGCTCAGTGACTGACAGCATGGAGCTGCAGCACGGGCACCTGAGGGGTGCAGTAAAGAAGTGCTGGAAAGCAAGTGGACATCTCTGAAGTAATCGCTTAGCAAGGTCACTCTTGGGTGTACCGATGTGGATCTCAAGCCAAACTGGGATTAAGGGAAATCACATTTTAGGCGTGTTTAGTGACCTTGGATGAGAGATACTCCCCTCATGTGATGCTATATTTTCCTAGCTGCCAAATGACTATAATATCTATTCCATTGGACTGTGAGAACATAACAGGTTATTCTATACAAATCCCCTAGCAAGTGCCTGACAGCACATTTATTCAGTGTTATTTAGTCTCTCCTCTCCCTCTCTTCCTTTTGTTCTTTGAAAGAAAGCTTCTTTTAGTCCAAGGTATTCTTGAACTCACCATATGGCCAAAGCTGGCCTTACATTTCTGATTCCCGTCTCCACCTCCTGAGTACTAGCATTAAAGACACTCACCACCATCTCCGGCTTCTAGTATGCTTTCTTTAAAGGAGCTAGAACTTTGATTATTCACACATTTGTCCAATATTTATTGAATATCTACTCTGCAGAAGGGGTGTTTCAGGAGATGGAAGTTATAGAAGGTCTAGACCTTTTACTGACAACCTTGAGAACAGAGAACTGCATTTGGCACTATCATCAAGCAGTGCTCTTCCGAGAGAGAGAGTGTTGCTAACCACTGAAGCAAGGGAGGAGGGGGAATGACCTGTGGCAGTGACCACTACGGAGGAGGGAACTTTAAGGAACGGTGGGCAGACACTGGACAATCCCTGAAAATGTGGCATAGAGGTCAGGGACAGGGGCTCTGCAGTCAGTCACGCTTTCAGTTGTGGCCTCATCACTCGAAAGCTGTATGTCTCTCTGCAGTTCTGACTTACTGGCTATACAGTGATTACAACATTATGGGCTTCACAGAATGTGTAAAATGTAAGTGGTGCTTGGCTTCTAGCACAGTGAATGGAAGCTGATACGAATGCTGTTAGTGAAACAGCAGAGACAAAAAGATCAACACATTTGCTGCAGACTGGCTGGGACTTCTTGTCATGCTAAGTAGGTGGGAGAGAGATGTCTTGAAGTCTACGGTCATAATAAACACAAATAAAGATGACAAAACTCATCATCATTTCTTACTCCTTCCTAGGGTGATTGAATCAGAGATTCACAACTGGTCCATGCAGAGAACTATGAGACTGCAGAGCGCTTAGCCCAAAATGGTAATATCTGTACCATTTTCTCTGTGTCCAAGGTTCAGAGACCATTGAGGCAGAGGTGGCAGAGAAAGCATCAGAGCAGAGGTGGTGTATGACTACAAGGAAACTTTCATTTGTTTTGTTCTTTGAAAACAGCGGGGTAGCTGCATATATGAACTCACAACAGTTGTGACGAAATGCACAGTCTGTGTGCAGGTCAAGTCAGACAGAATTCAAGCCTGAAGGTGGGAGATGGGTGTGAAATTCCACCCCTGATAGCTGCTAGAAGAAAGGGTCAGTTTCATTAAGGGTGTGGCCCTTCGTACTTGGGCTATGTTCTCAGCAGGTAGCCACACTTCTAAGAGGATGTGGGCAGTACAAACTGGACTTGGTGGGGAGGGGAAACGGCCACAGTGGCTTTCTTGACTGTCAACTTGACTATATCCAGAATGCACCCAAATCAGCTTGAGCATGTCTGTGAGGGAGCTTCTTCATTGGGTTGTCTGAGGCGGGAGGACTCACCTAATCTAGGCTACACATTCTGGTGGCAGCCTACACACATAACAGAACATAGGAGGAGGAGGATTTTCCTTTTTGCCTGCTTGACGTCATCTGTCCTGCTGCTGAGGCATTGCTTTGCTGGTATTAAAACCTGTTTCTTTGGGATTCTAATGTAGACTGAGACATCCAGCCTTGTGGACTGTACAACTGATGGAGTCTTTGCCTTTTCATTCTGAGACAGCCATTGTTGAACTAACTGGACCACAGCCTTCAAGCCAGTCAAGTAAATCTCACATGTTTTTATACATGACTGTTTAACAATATATACATACATACATATATATATAATTTTCCCAATCAGTTTTGTTCCTCTAGAGAACCCTAATAAGTACAGGTAGGGGGTGGAGCTGGGAAAATTTTGGGTAGGAAAGTGAATATGAGCAAAATGCATTGTATGAAATTCTCAAAGAATAAAAATATTTTAAAAATACACCCTCGCCTACTTCATGTAAAAGAACAGAGCAGGTCAGATTAATTTGCCTCTATAAGGAAGCCCTGGAGAGTGGGAGCGTATGCATCAGGCATGACAGGGAAGGGACAGAGGATAACATGATTGTGACATCTCAAGAACATATGCTGGATACTAAGATGGAGTTTCCAGGTGCACCTGCGTCCTGCCAAACTTAGCTGTCTGGATCTTCAGTTTGGACTCAGGGTGGACTCTTAGGGGACACGATGCTCACATAAATGACTGTCAGAGTGTTTTACTCATCTTGCCAAAACTTGACAGATGCTCTGAAAACATTGTTCCATTTTATCAACAGAAAACCTAAGCAAAACTTTCAAGATTGTTCTGCACCACAAGCAGGAACTAATGTGGGGAGCTATAAGAAAATTCAGCACATAGTTTCCTGCTGTGAAGACGTAAATGTTCATTAGGCTCCATCATATGCTCATTGGGCAGAAGCTAACCTGCAATGACTAAGGGTCATTCTGGAGGTTTACACGGGTGACAAGGGCCAGGTTGCTCTGCACCTTGCACATCACTGGGCTGTCAGTTTAGAGAGAGAGGGGACTCCTGCCTTGCATATGTAGGAGCCTCTCAGATGTAATAACCCTCCTCAGAGTTTTGGTCTCAGTAACACTTTACTGACCCATGCCTATGATTGAAGGACTTGAGAGGTGGAGGCAGGAGAACTGGGCCAGCCTGGGCTACCTGAAACCCCATCTCAAAAATGAATACCACCTTAGTGATTTCACATGGACCAACCTACTTAAAGCCACAGCTTCCTGACATCCCCATCTCTTCATCTGCTCTATGCACGTACATAGCAGTCACCACCTTATGACACACTAAAGTACCCATTTCTCTTTGCTTGGTCGTATTAACTATCTTCATGTCAACCAACTTAAGAAAGTTCCATGAGGGCTGTGTCTGTGAGGGGGAGGGCATGCTTAATAAATAGGGGGCTCCATCTCCACTTAGGCTGATCACTGATTTGGGTGCTGAGGTACGGAGACAACCAAAATCAAGGTCTTGCCTCCAAACAGCTCACTCACTGTTGTGTCTGCCTTGCTTGGCTCTGTAGTGCTGAGCACAGCTGCATTCCAAAGAGCTCACAGTCACGAAGGCAGGACGGGTAGGAGCCAGCTACTTGCATGCATTTTTACAAACCAAATGAGACTTACCAAGGATGCTGGAAAGAGAAAGGGCAGACACCCCAGACTGTGGAAGTCTGCCTCAGTGGGACCTGAGAAGCTTCCAACAGGACACTCCAAAGTTGAGTTTTAAGGGATACATACTTTTAATCACCTTGAAAGTGGAAATGACACTTGCATAGGCACAAATATATCGACACTGGAGTTTTAGGAGTCAGGTATGGCTGTAAGGGAGCAGGGGTCCAATGATCAAATTAGACTTTAAATGGAAAAAGGATTGTCTTCGGCCCTTTTGGACTCTTTGGCCATGAAGAGTGGCAAATTAAGTCATCATTAATTAATAAGAAATGTACAGTTTAGGAATATACAAATTTAAGAATTTAAGTCATGTCATAGTGTCCCCGTGTGCTGCTTGGTAAGTGAATTTGATTCTTAAAGAGTCTCCAAGCAAGCACCTAGATCATAAAAAAAAAAAAAAAAAAAGGTAGACTTCCTCCAAGGGGGTGGTCACAAACTCACCAGCTCTCTTTATCCGTTTCCTTTCCTTCAGCTGGTAAGGCTTGTGATCATGAGACAAGGGAATGGCATTCCCATCTTTGTCACACAAGACTCCTCGAGAATCACCAACATTGGCCACGGTGAGGTCTTTATCTGATAGTAGAGCAATCAAACATGTAGTGCCTGCAAGACAGGAGAGAGAAGCAGTGTGGAGGTGGGCAGGGTATGGACGGATGGTCCCTCCCGTCTCCTGGTCACCGGACTCTTCTGTCATCAAAGCCTTGCTTGCTTGGAGGGAGCGCAACTCCAGCTCCTCTGGGCATGATCATGGTTCACATCAATAGTGCTGATCAAATCTGACAGTCCATTTTCTTCACCGAGTTACACTGTCACCGAAACAGGCTAGAAGAACAGTATCATTTTCCTAAATCACTTTGTTTCTGCTACTCCTAATTTAAAACACCGTACTTAACAGGATGAGGACAGAATCAAAATCAGTTCAAAGCCCCACACAGCTGGTGCGTGTTGTTATCTTCTCTTTGGTGCTGAGTCTCTGAGAGGTCCCAGTGGCAAGTGTGAAAGTGTTTAGGTGTGGGCGGGGGCTGGCTCCTGAGGCAGACATTAACAACCATATCCTGTGGCGATGTGACAGGACTAGTTCTGTCAGGAAAGGTCAAGTCTCAGTACAGAAAGTCTGAGAGCTGAGACTGGGCAGCTAGAGAAAGCACAGCCTGCCTCAGGTGTGAAGAGCTATGAAAGCAGAAGCAGAAAAACCTACAGGGAAGACAGAAGTGGAGCAGTGACGGTCAGATCACGTGCTTGTCTGAAGCCACACAAGACACCCAAAGGCAGGCTTTCCTTAGTTCCTTCAGAAGTGAAAAGGAACAAAGCAAGGAGAATCGAACACTCTTTCGCCTCCCTCTCTGTCTTGCCAGTCATTGTCAATGGTCAACTATCTGCTGAAAGGCACCGCTCACAACTTACCTCAGACTGAGAGCTTTATTTGCTGGAAAGTACTCACTGTCTTCCTTAACAGTCCCTTCCTCAGTAAGAAAGCCATAGTCCATAATAAAATATAAACAGCATCTAAATTACCTTTTAGTTTTTATAGAACAAAAAGAGGACTCTATTTGTTGTTGTTTGTTATGTTTTATGCCTTTACCTTTTAAAGTATTGTGTGTGTTCGTTCATAGTCTGGTTCCAGTCTTTCCTCTTCCCATTGTAACTATAATCTTGAATTTGGGTTTCTCATTGCCTCACTTTTCAATATTTTTTATTTGCTTTTGTTTATGTATTTGTGTCTGTGTGTATTTGACATGCATGTAGGTGTCTGTGGAGGCCTGAAGAAGGCATTGGATACCCTGGAGCTATAGTTACAGGTGTCTAAGCTGCCTGGTGATGTGGGGGCTGGGAACCAACCTGGGATCTTCTGCAGGGACAGGGATCACTCTCAGCTGCTGGGCCATGTCTCTAGCTCCCTTGCTTTTCTTCTTAGATTTGTATATTTTATTTTATGGTGCATGCCTTTAATCACAAACAGTGAAGGTAAAGTTAGTGTGTCAAAGGAAGCACCCATGTTTGAAAGTGGTGTCTAACTGAGTGGAAGAAAAAGTGATAAAAGTGGTAAAAAAAAAAAAAAATCAAAGATTTGGCAGAATAGGATACACCCAATTCTCACAAGAAGAAAGAGGAAAGGAAAGCCACTTAAGGGGCAATACAGAGAGAGAGAGAGAGAGAGAGAGAGAGAGAGAGAGAGAGAGAGATTTACTGGGAGAGTTTTACAGAGAGAGGTTGAGTGAAAGAACAAGCTAGACCAAGGTGAAGGCAGGATGAATCTGAGAATGAGAAGGAACCAAGATATTAGAGCAGATTTCTGGAGTTAGTTTGAGGCCAAGCAGAATAATTTAGAGGCTGAGAGAAAAGCCAGATTGACTAAGTTAGCTGGAAGAGGAATTTGATCCAGAACAGCTGAGTTGAATCCTCAGCCAGAGCTCAGTAAGAATAAGAAAGGGTGAGTTTATTCAGCAGTAAGTCTCAGAGGCTGAAAACATTCTAGCCTTATGTTAGATTGTACAAAGGCTAAAAGCTTCCAGGTTTAGGCCTAGGTTAGCAGACAAAAGCAATAATACTGCAAGACACTAACTGAAGCAGGTGAATAAAAGTTCCTTTTACACGGAGTACTTTCTGTTATCAGGAACATTATCCCACAGGGGCAAAGGCTCTAGGCAGGCAGCAGCTAGACGTCCCCATGTTCAATAAGGTATGTAGGTATTGTCTTCATCTTTAGATGCCTTGCCATCTACAGCCTTGGCAAGAGCTTGGGTTGTTTGGGGGTTCTCACGATACCCTTTTGGCCAACAATTTAATTAGCTGTGACCCATTGCTAGTACTGAAGCTTCATTTGGTGATAAGAGATGTTCAATTGTGCTCTATCTCCCCCATTTTTGGATGATTTCATTGAGAGACATACCTCAACATAATGAAGGCAGTTTACAGCAAGCCCATAGCCAACAGGAAATTAAATGGAGAGAAACTCAAAGTACTGCCACTAAAATTGGGAACAAGACAACATTGTCCACTCTCTCCATATCATTTCTGTATAATACTTGAAGTCTTATCTAGAGCAATAAAACAACTAAAGGAGATCAAGGGAATGCAGATTGGAAAAGAAGAAATCAAAGTATAGTTTTTTTGCAGAGGATATGATGGCATACATAAATGACCCTAAAAATTCCATCAGAAAACTACATCTGATAAACACAAGTAGCTGGATAAAAAAATTAACTCACAAAAATCAATAGCCTTCCTTTATGCAAATGGCAGATGAACTGAAAAAGAAATCAGGGAAAACAACACTTTTCATAATAGCCTTAAATAATACAAAATTTGAGGTAACTCTAACCAACCAAGTAAAAGATTTATATGACAAAAACTTTAAGACATTGAAGAAAGAATTTAAAGAAAATATCAGAAGATAGAAAGATCTCCCATGCTCCTGGATCAATAGGAATAATATAGTAAAAACAGCCATCCAACAAAAGCAATATAGAGATTTAGTGAAATCCCCATCAAAATTCCAACACAATTCCTCATAGTGAAGGGTGAATTTTCAATTTCATATAGAAACACAAAAGATCCAGGATAGCTAAAACATCCTGAATAATAAAAGAACTGAAGGAGGTATCGCCAGCCCAATCTCAAATTGTACTACAGAGGTAATAATAAAAACAGCCTTATATTGGCACAAAAACAGACACATTGGTAAATGGAATGGAATTGAAGACCCAGACGTAATCCCATACACGTCTGTTCACATGGCTTTTGGTAAAGAAGCCAGAAACACACACTGGAAAAAAGATAGCATCCTCCACAAATGGTGCTCGTCAAACTGGACGGATGCACATGGAAGAATCCAAATAGATCCATACTGATCACACTGCATAAAACTCAACTTCAGATGCATCAAAGACCTCAACACAATACCAGACAACTGAACCTGAGCTGACAGAAGAGAGAGAGGAGAACAGCCTTGAACTCACTGGCACAGGAAGAGACTTTCTGAGCAGGACACTGATGACACAGCTTATAAATGGGACCTCACGAAACTGAAATGTTTCTGAAAGGCAAAGGATATCATCATTCAGACAAAGATTTTTCCTACTACACACATGATAGATGGCTAGTATCCAAGATATATAAGGAACTCCAAAAAAAAAAAAAACCTCAAAAAGACAAATAACCCTATTTAAAAATGGGATACACATATAAATGGAGATTGCTCCAAAGAGAAAACCCAAATGGTGAGAATCACCAAAAGAAATGTTCAATATCTCTGTTTGTTAGTGATACTACTTCTGTGATAGAACATCATGACTTAAAAGCAACGTGGAAAGGAAAGGGTTGATTTGCCTTCTGCTTCCATATCACTGAAGGAAGTCAGGACAAAAACTCAGACAGGGAAGGAACCTGGAGGCAGGGGCTGATGCAGCGGCCACGGAGGGGTGCTTGCTCCCTATGACTTGCTCAGCGTTCTTAAAGAACTCAGGACCACCAGTCCAGGGATGGCACCTCCCACAATGGGTTGGGGGGCCTTTGCTATCAATAACTAGGTAAGAAAATAGCTGACAGTGTTGCCTATAACCTGATCTTATGGAGACATTTTCCCTCCTCTCAGATGACTTTAGCTTGTGTCAAGGTGACATGAAACTGGCCAGGACAGCATCCTTAGCCATCAGGGAAATGCAAATCAAAACTATTTGAGATTTCATCTTACACCTGTCAGAATGGCCAAGATCAATAAAACAAATGACAGCTCATGCTGGTGAGGATGTCGAGTAAATGGAACATTCAGCCATTGCTGGTGAAAGTGCAAACTTGTCCAGCTACTGTGTTAAACAGTGTGGCAGTTCCTCAGGAAGATGGAAATCGATTTACTTCAAGCTCCAGCTGTACCATTCTTGAGCCTATACCCAAAGGATGCTTCATCCTGCCACAGAGACACTTGATCAGCCATATTCTTAGCTGCTCATTCATAAAAGCTAGACATTACAAACAACCTAAATGTCCCTCAACAGATGAATGGATAAAGAAAATGTGGCACATCTGCACAATGGGACATTACTGAGCTATTAAAAAAAATAAAATAATGAAATCCACAAGTAAACAGACAGGACTAGGAAAAACAAAACAAAACCATCCTTGAGTGAGGTAGCCCAGACACACAAAGACAAATATGGTATGTGTTCACTTATAAGTCGATATTAGCTGATAAGTCTATGATACTATGCTACAATCAATGGAACCACAGAGGTTATACAGTAAGAAATCAGGGAGCAAATAGATCTCCCTAGGAAAGGTTAATAGCACAGATATTTATGGATAAATGTGGGCCACTGGAACAGGAGGATCAAGTGGGGAAGGGGAGGGAAGAGAGGGACAAGGTAAGGAATGTGGAGAGAGGCAGCTAAAATGAAGGGCCATTTGAGGGATAGTATGGAAACCTAATAGAGTAGAAGCTTCACACACACACACACACACACACACACACACACACACACACACACACGAAGATGATCTAAATGAAATCACTAAAGCAAATTTTAACATCCTACAAAAACAACTCAAATAACCAGAAATCATCACCCTTAAGTTTTTGTATTGGTTGAATTCGATCTGCAACTATT